ACAATTAAAATGTACAATTCAACATGTGGTTTTTGGGGTGCATTAAAAAAAGAATTAACCAGAATCAATCTTTTTCACTAAATTTGCACAAAATTTATAAAAATATCTCATTAAAATAATTTGTTAATTTCTTTCTAGCACCTGCTAATAAGATCATTTCTGGATTTCGTCCATTTACTTTGCAATTTACTTTGCTGCAAACAGACTTTATAACACTAAGACAGGTTGGACACTGCTTCAAGCCGAAAGCTTTACATTTTATGTCTCCACAATTATTTACATTTAATAAAAAGTTTTTTAACTTCCTCTTTTTTTTTTTTGCAGCATCTTCTTTTTCTTTTAACTTTTTTTCTTTGATTCTTTTTATGGATTCAACTACAGTTAATACATTGTTTGCTGTCATTGAACCATGTACTTAGGTAACACGTGTCATATCTTTTAATAATTTAGGCTTTACCTTTTTGGTTACCATAAAACCTAGTATTTCTTCCAGTTGAATACTTTTTTCATGAAGTTCATCAATCAGTTCCATAGCTTGTTCGAACTTTGATTTCCAGTAACTTGCAGAACCATATCTTTTATCAGGCGAATAAATTAAGGGAGATTCTCTGCTTCAATACAGTTTTTTTTACAGAAATTAAGGCTGTTTCTCTGCTTCAATACAGTTTTTTGCTCTTTCAAATTTATCTTTTTGCATAAATTCAACACTCAATGAGTTTTCAGTGACACCAACCCTTCTAGCAGATTTTATAATAGTTTCTTTGGTTGCCCATTCGTCCCATATATTAGCTAGAACTAATATGAAAGCTTCTTTATTTAAGGAGCAGATAGCTGAAAACATAAAGTCTTTCTGTTTACAATACTCGCTATGAATGTTCTTATTTACTTGGTCAAGAAGTTGAGTAACTCCTGTTGTGTCTGGTGGAGTGACAAAGAGACAAATTTTTTTCAACTCAAGAAAAGATAAAACATCAAAGTCTAGTCTTGAGCTATGTCCATCTGACAATAAGATGATGGGTCACCTAACATTTTTTTCATTTAAGTAGGCATCGAATTCTTTCAATGCTGCCAAGAATGATTCATGGTTTGATACTTCATTTTCTGATGTCGTAACCAACAAATGTGGAATTTTATTTGCTGCTTCTGTCGGAACCATACAACTTGTAATACCAGTTCATTTAAAAATCATCTGGCACATACATATATCCCCTTAAAATAAAAATTGAAAATCATTTTAAGCAAGTATTATTATTTATACATTTTTTCTTAAACCACATATTATTGCATACCTGAAAATGAAACAAATGGTTGAATTGTGACACATTCTCTGTTTTCTCTATACATTTTTCGACAGAAATCCCCTTTGCCAGCATAAAATAATCCAGAATTGGTACCATCAACCCCATAGTTAATAAATTGGGGTGTTTCAACACAATTAAATATTCGACTAGTATCAACAATGTCATTTCAAACCCCTGCTTCAATTTTTTTTTTCATTAACCATAACACCAACTTCTACTAGTTCTTTAGCAAATGAATCTGATATATATTACATAGAAATATGTATATTTAAAAACGTAGAATGATACTTATTTATAAAAATTTTCAAACTGATACTTAAATGATTACATGACATTTGCCTTGAACAATTCAGTGCACGGTTTATAGACACTCTTCCTTGTCGCTTGATGGTAAGACTGCTATGTTTAGCATTAAAGCGAAGCCAAAATGATCGACTTAATCTATAAAAGAGGACCGTTATATAAAAATAATAGTCTGATTAAAAAAAGGGATATTTAAATATAAAGATGATTCTTATTACCCTATTTAGACTTCATAGAATCATTGTAAGTTTAATTATTTAGTTTCAAGTTACTTTCCTTTTTCCAGTGCAGCTCGAGCATTTAATGATAATTTGTGAAACTTCCTTCCACCTTTCATTTTTGTATTAGTGTGATGTCTAATACGTAGCACATTTAGAATTAACTTGGTTACTTCCTGTTTATTAATTGCTTGTAAAGACCTGTTCTTATTTTTTATAAAACGAACAATACATGCCTCTTCATTTTCTGTAAGTATAGTACAATAACTTCTTTCTTGTCCATTAACCACTTTTCTATCTAATCGTCTGTTGATTGTCTCTCTATCTTTGATAAGAGGAAACATACCAGTCTTTAATGCTGCTTGTCCCCTCCCATTCGAGTAAACTATATAAACATTTTATTAAATTATTTCAAATCTTTTCCAGAATCATCAAAAAACCAACGTGGTTTTTGGGGTGCATATGATGTGGTTTTTGTAGTACATTTGAAGTGTTCTATGAAATATAAGTTAGCATTGATGCAATCATTCTAAGAGCAATTTACTATAACAATCTTCTTCAAAAAAATCAGGTTAAAAATCTTAACAGTTAAGAAATTATAGCTAAATTAGTTAATGTGGTTTTTGAGGTGCATGGCGAAAAAAAATTGTCAGCTTCAACATTCAATCAAAAGAAAACAAGCAAGACATATTAAACCATACATATCAGGAAGAACCCCATTTAAGCCTATCTTTCAATAGTAATAACTTAAAAAATAGTATTTTTCTCTAGAAAAAAGTTCTAGACTCTCCTACTTTCATGTGGTTTTTGGGGTGCAACCACCTGTATATTCGGATAGTTGTCTGTATATTATTTTTGAAAGTAATTGTAAAACTGAGATAGGGCGGTAGTTTTCCGGATCAGATTTTTTACCTTTTCCCTTCCATATAATTGTAATATTAGCTTTATTCCAGATTTCAGGAAATACACCCTCATCTATAGATTTGTTTAGAATGATGGTTAGATTTGTTGCTAGAGAATTGGCCAATCATTTGATTAAATAAGAGTCCATCATATCCAGCTGATGAGTTGTTTTTATTTAGTTAAGTACAGATTTTGTTTTCACTAACTTAAAACTAAAGCTGTCGATTTGGTCGGCCATACAAGCAAAGTCCTTTTTTTGCACTGAACTACTAAAGCTAGATGTTTATTTAGTTTGTTTAAATTGATTGTATTATTATCAAGGATTTGATTTTTATCTTTAGTATTGAAACGCATTTTCTTAATATACTTCTAACCATCTTTTGGGTTTTTGCTTTTGAATGCTTCTGTTCCTTTGTCTATTTCAAACTTCCTTATAAGGCTTCTGATCTGCTTTAATATCCTTAAGTTCTTTTTCTTTTTCATCTGTAAACTTTATATATTTTCCTCTTTTTTTAGCTAAATAATCTCTTTTTACCATAACTTATTTTTTTGTCAATCTATTGAGGTCTAGTTGTTCGACATGGAAAATTTTCAACTGGCACAAATTCATCAATTATTATTCTGATTGCATCATACCAAGTATTTACTAAATCGTTTGTTGTTTGTATTTTTTGTTTGTTGTTGATCTTTTAAAAACAAAAAACTTATCATTATTAAACTTTTAACTTAAAATTTATTTTTTATTTCGCTTTTTCTGAATTGAGCATAAAAGTTGCTATCCAATTAAATATAAATTATATATTTCTCAAAGGTATCAAATTTTACCAAAAATATCCCCAAAATTTACCAAAAAGGGCAGTTCCTATGGACCATGGGAACTGTAAAAAAAAAATAATTAAAGTAAGAAAAAGCCCTATTGATTGCACCATGGCATGGTGCAATCGATGGGGCTTTTATTTATGTCCATCTTAGCTTTGTTTCCTATTTTAATTCCACTGCGTAAGTTATGTAAACTGAAGGTGTTTTACTACTGTTTTTCCACGAGTGCTAATGTTCGTTGGTGTCAATATCAATATGACAAGTTAAACACAACTTTAAAGAACATATATGGGTTAGTAATCTATTAAAAACTATGTTTACTGACTTATCAAATGATGGTTTATTGTCTATATACAATTACAAAAAGTACTAATAAAAGTTTAAATAATTTGGTCTCTTACTCAAAAAAGATTTTTTTTCTTTAACAAGTTTTTGAAACAAGTATTAAATAATTCAGCAACTTTATTCTATAATTATGTTTTTATACTATATGTTGTTAAAACTGTTGAAGTTAAACGTAAACTTAAAAGCTACCTACCAATATCAAAGAGTTAAAAGTAAACAAGTTAGTTTGTTTTAAAATACTCGTGTTCAATAAATGTCAAACTTCATTATAATATATACACATTAAATTTTGCCTTTGTTGCTCATTGACATATAGAATTAGTGCTATTAAAGAACAAACTTAAATAAAACTATTTTAAAAATTGTAACATTATTTCAATTTTAGTGCACCAAATATTATTAATAAAAATAATAAATGAATGTTATAACAGCAGAGAAACAGCTGTGAAGTACAATAACATTTCATATTTTAATAATATTTTGTTTTGGATATAGACCTATCTTGTACTGCATACACAAAGTAGCATATTTGTATCTAGTTATTTGAAAGTTTGATGAATTAAACCTAAGATTGAATTAGAAAAACTGTAAACATAAACCATAAAGATAACAAAAGCTCCAACAAATTTTTTTTGCATCTTGTCTATTAACAAAGTAATGTATACTTGGTTTATTATATTCAAACTTGACCAGCTACTTTGAAGTGGTCAGTCATGCAAAAGCAACAGAAAGTAACAATCACTTAATAAAAGTTCCAAAAATCCAACTTGAATATGCTAGAAATTCTTTTTAATACTCTTTTGCTAGAGTGTATGACCATTAGAGTTTAAGAAAATTAACTCGTTGACTGAATTTTAAAATGTTAAAAATTTGCTTTAAATAGGTGTTTTTGTATTATTTTAACTTTTCATTTTTTGTATCATTTGGATTTATTACTTTGAATAATTTTAATTATATTTTCTTACAAGACTTACATTGAAGAATATTAATAGTTTCTGAAGTAATTCATCCTGTATTCGGTTTTTAATTTTGATAGCTATTATATTGATGAAATAATTTAAAATTTATTTTGATATTTTATTTGCTTTTATTTTGATATTTTTATTTTTAGTTTGACAAAGATGGAAATGGGCATATAACCTCTGCAGAGCTTGCTGATGTTTTTGAAAAACTTGGTGAAAATGTTCCTGGGTATAAAATTCGTGAACTAATTGCTGAAGTTGATGAAAACAAAAATGGTACAATTGAGTTTGATGAGTTTCTGCAAGTAAGCAAATAATTTTAGAAATAACTGTGAACAATTATTTCATTTGTTGAGGTAAAAAATAAAAAAAAACTAAGAACTTTACTAAACTGTCTAAACACGGTATTTTAATGGGTATTTTTGAAATAGTTGACACAAACTATTTCAAAAAAGTTAACTAATGCATAACTTTTGATCCTTTTGTTAGCTACTAGTACTTACAAAAATTACTGAACTACTAGAATTACTGGCCTCAACTTTTTCTTTTATAAAAGATAGTAAATTTCAAATTTTAAAAATTTTCAACATAAAGAAAATGCTCTAACTGAGGTCCAAAGTGGTCTGCTACTTTATCTCGGGTCAATAATAACTTTTGTGTTTAATAATAGATTGGACTACATCAGGAGTAACAAGATGGGCATCAATCTAGAAGAGTTTACAATGATTAAGTATGAAGTTATCATTTTTTTGCCATGTTGTGACTGAATTAAACAGTGTGCAATAGTGGTTATGCCAAATGTGATATATATTAGCAGTACCAAAGGCAAAAGGTGGGAGGATACCAGAGGCATAACTTCAGTTTTGAGGCCCCAAGGCAAGTAAATACAATTAAACCCCTGACCTCTAATTTCTCTAAAAAGGTACTTTAAAAAGAAAAAAAGTAATGACTTATAAAAAATAGTTTAATTGAAAATTTAGTAATCTTTGAATAATCTGATGTTAATCCTCATTTTAATATTACTTCCAATAATTCTTTTATATCAACACATTTATTAACTTCTTCCACCATATACTGTTGTTTTTTAATGCCATTAACTCATAATCAAAACTTGGTTTAATAAAATTTTTGTATTTTTTGTAAAAATTTCAACACAAATGAATTCTTTCTGAATCTTTATATTCTAACAAATTAGATGGTTTTAAAAAGCTAAAAAGTTTTCTTTTCTAGATTAAAATTCTTTTGTAGATTAAAATCTTTTCCCAATTTGAGATAAAAGCAAATTGAAAGTTTTCTTATAAATGCTGTCAATAAAAATCTGTTCTTGACTTTTGTTAAAATTTTCTTCAAAACCCGGTTCATCAAAAAATTTCTTACGAATTGATCTTTGTTTAGGTTTAAAATCAGCTGTAATTCCATACATATCCGCTATTTTATTTGTGTCACTCTTAAACAAATCATAATTATTTTTAAGTATTTTAAGTGTGTTCATGCATTTTTCCAATTAAGAAATGGCTTCCATTAAATTTGTATTCTTCTTTTGAAAAAGTAAACTTTTGTGTTTTCATTCATTTAATATTCGGCTTAAAAGTTGTAAAATAACCAAAAATTATGTTTGAAATTGATTTATTTTATTTTCAAAGTTCACATTCTTCTGATTTTTGTGAAGTCAAAATTATTTTATTGAGTGCTCCAAGTATATCTATAAGATTTATACAATAACAAGATTGGTAATAACAAGAGCAGTAATCTAATTTTATTGAATAACTAACAAATATGTAGAGGAAAAGGATAGATTATTTTCGTTTGGATCATGTGGAAAATCAAAATTTTTTGGACTCTTGGGACCTAAATTGATAAAAAAAATTTTTTCCTCTTTAGAAACTGTTTTTTCAATATAATTGTACAATTTAAAATTATTAAAATTTAAATTTAAAATTAAAATGATCAATCTGTTCATTAGTATAATTTGGTGATTATACTAATTCATTTTTATTATTTAAAACATCTTTTACAATATTTAATGCACAAGTTTGAAATGTGTATTCGCTATCTTCAAAGCTTGTCTCAATGTCTATGGCACAATTATTATCATAGTTAATAATATTTATTTCTTTATTTAATGAAGATGTAGATGGTTTTTCATCAGTAGTTACTTCGCTGTTGTTAATTAAAGATTTATTTTCTGTTTGAAAAAATGCATCAATTTTTGCATGTTTTTTTAATTAAGTCTTGATTTTCTTTTACCCTTTTTCTTTTTAAAGCTCCAGTTTAAAATTTTCTTTTTGTATACATTTTGCAATATTGCTTACAATATCTTTAATATAAATATTAGAATGTTTTAACTTTTTCTCAGTGTTTTAGTACTACAAATATTGTGTTTTAATAAGAAGAAATTTGTGTTTTAATAAGAAGAAATTTGATTTGTGTTTGTGAAGTAAATAATTGATAAGTATGGTAAATATAAACTCTGTAGAAATATTTTCTCAAATATTCAATTCAATAGGTACCTTTCTACTAGAAGAACATATTACTATAAATTATTCAATAAGTTCAGAGACACTTATATTTGTACAGTTACTGAGGTATTTTACAGCCTTGAATACCCTGAAGAAAATCTCTACGATGGCGCAAACAAAATATGTCAGAATACACAAATTGTTATAAAATTATTTCCCGCCTAAAAAGAGGGATTTAAAAGCTTTTATATTAGGTGGAGGCAGAGGCCCCTTGGTTGTTGTGACCCCAAGGCAGTTCTTTCCCCTGCTTTCCCATAATTATGCCTATGGATTCATTTATCACTTTGTATACAAGTTAAGACAGACCAGAAATTAGTTTTAATCTTTTATGCTAAACTGTTTGCCAACTTTGAGGCACTATGACATCTTTTTATTTACAGTGACGAATAGCATATTTATATAATGCTCTTAATTTCCTAATATAGTTCAAGATTTGGTCAAATTTTGGTTCATTGTTACTATGCCATTAACAGAATGCATGTAAAGCAACCTTACAAGCATCTTTTACATAAACTGTCCAATCTGTCATAGATTGATTTTTTTTTTACAAATAGATTTAAAAAGGTTAGATGAAGTAAATAAGTCGTTGAGTATTTTGTAAAAGTAATTAATTTGCCTAATGTACAATGAATTACTGTGAACATTTCTAAGTTAATGAATGAACATGAACATTTCTAAGTTAACTAATTTAAATTGATTCATGTTCACTTAGGAGACCGAATTAAATATAGTAAAAGTGTACTCTTATTGAAGAATACAGTAGAAGTGTATTTTTATTGAAGAATACATAAAACTCTTTTATCATATTGATTGGCATGGCATTAAAGTTTACTTTGGTGGATCTATATCAATTAAATAAAATATTAATTGTTAAGGACAAATGATCAGAAGAAATGCTTACTGAGTAGACTGAATTACATTGAAGTTAATAACCAAACTTTGATAGATTAGGTAATGATCAATTCAAGAAAAACTTTTTGAGCAGTTAAAGAATTTAGTTTAATTTTAGTAAGTGAAACTGTGATAACTTATTTAAACAGTATTAGTAACATTTTGGTAGACAATCAAGTTTTTTCTGCTTGGTTGCCAAGATTTTTATAAAGGTATAAAAGAATCAGGAGTAATAAAATAAATGGTAAAGAGTTGGCATCTATACCAAAATAAATGGTAAAGAGTTAGCATCTATACCAAAATAAATGGTAAAGAGTTGGCATCTATACCAAATGCTAATTTTGCAAACTATTGAATGAAGTTTCCATAAGAGATCAATAGTGAAATGTAATCTGAGAAGACATAGTAGAAGACCCGTTGCATTTATTAATATAAGAAACTATTGCAATAATAATTAGCAGCCAACTACTAAATCGTTGTTTGAGTTGAAATTCAAAAGAGATTGCTTGATATATATATATATATATATATATATATATATATATATATATATATATATATATATATATATATATATATATTTAAACCATTTTTAAATGTATTCTACAAAATAGAGTGCTCAATGTTCTTAAAAGAACAGAGCAATTATAAAGTAGTTAAAAATCATTTAGCAAAAATATTTTACATTTAACACTGTGTTTCATCAATAAAGACTCATCAGAATTGAATGATCATTATTGTATTTTTATATTTTACTCTAATATCTATCTAATATCTACAATACAAATAAAATTTGTTATATATATTTAAATATATGATATTTTTATTTCAACACTGTTTTAGTAATTTTACTTTTACTAAATGTTTAAAATACTTTGAACAGTTAATCCTTACAAGTAGTACAAAATTTACACTATAAACGTTTTTTAAAACCACATTTTCTAATAAGTTAAATATTCTAAAATAAAATATTTTTAATGCTATATCAAAGCTTCAGATAAAACTAAAATGGTTAACGTAGATAAAATATTTTTTTTTTAGCTTAATAAATAATTGTGCTCACATAGCAACATATGCTTATGTAAAATATATGTTTACCGCAACCACCATAACAAAGTGAACTATTATAAGTTCATTTAGCCGATTTATATCTGGAAGGTGTGAGAGGGGAGGAGGGGAACCATAAAGTTTTTTATTTTATACTTTATTTTAAAATTTTGGAAAAAGTAACGGGGGCAAAATCTCTTAGCACATACCCTTCCCCCCCCCCCCCCACTATCCCTCGTCACTGTAAAAAGATTATTCCGAATAAACTCTGGGTTCATTGCTGATATATATATATATATATATATATATATATATATATATATATATATATATATATATATATATATATATATATATATATATATATATATATATACATACATATATATATATATAGCGAATACACATTTCAAACTTGTGCATTAATAATTTATATTTAAAAAATATATAAATTATTTGTGTAGATTTATTGCAAAGTTACAAATAAAGGGGTGTTTGGACAATGGACTTCTCTTTTATCTCCACGACAAGGTATAAAAACATCTGGTGGTACATCAACTGCATCAGCTGATGGTACTGCTCATACTTTCTCGGAATCTGAGCAGACTGCTTTGAGAGATTGGATTAATTCTCAATTGAAAGATGATCCAGATTTGAAAACAGTGATTCCAATTCAGTCTAATGATCTCCTTTTTAAATCACTTCGTGATGGCATTATACTTTGGTAAGTTTTTTTTTTTAATCTTTTATTGAAATAAATATTAATTTTAGAGAAAACTAATAGTACAATATTTTGATGAAATGTATTGAGAATATTTTCAGATAGCAATAGTTAGAATTAGCACTGGACTAATGAGCATCATTATGTAGGTGGCAGATAAATTTTTGAGGTACTCTCAAGTGCTTAATACAAGAGGGTTGGAGTAAAATGGGGGATGAGTATTTTAGTTAAGATCTAATAAACATGGATGTCTTAATAAATGGGTGAGTGGGAAATTTTTACAGAACACCAATAAAACAATTTTAATTCTAGTGTAAGTATTAATTAACGCCTTAATAAGCTTTAGGTGGGAAAATTTTCTGAAAATTAATAAACGTCTACTCTAATTTATTAAGCACCTAAGGGTACATGTTTAAATACATTGTCCAGTTTGCTATTTTAGTGTTGAAAATAACTTTTAGTGAAATATTACAATCAACAGTATAATACTTGTATAATGGCATCAGTTATACTTCTCCAGGAAAAAAGCAAATCGGCTATTTAATAATAGTTTATTATAATATGTTTTGCTAGTTTATGTTTAACTAATTTGCATTTCACAGATGTTATAGAGATAGGTCAGTAGTTGGCTAGTAGAGACAGATTACCAACTTAAGGAATAGGAATGATGTTTGCATAAAACCATTCAGATAGTACAATACATTTATTAATACAATGATTGAAAACAATAACTAAAGCTTCAACTATTTCAAGGCATGCAGCATAAAGAAATTTGCCAGATATGCCATCATGGCTGGCTGGTGTCAATTTGATACATTTGAGTTGTTCAGTGACATTAGAAAAGTTGAAGATAGGCAATTCTGGTATTGAGAAAATTGGCTTGATAATAAATGATTTGTTAATACTTTCCAAGTTTTGTCTCAGCATTGTATATTAAGTTTTGTACAAAATTCAGTATCTGAGGGTAAGCTGGGAAAGGCTAGGGTTGATAGGAAATGTGCATGTGAGATTAGTGAGATATGTATATTTATTTCTGTAGTAAGATGCTTTCCGGGTGGCAATTAGTTGGGCAATAATATTGGCTGAGATGTTACATTGATGGTTAAGCCAGTTTTGCGTATGTTTTATATATTGTAGAATATTGCCAGTCATCCATTCTTGGTCATCACAGTTTTTGATAGAGCGCAGAGGTTGATGTTTATTTTGTGCATCAATTATAATATCCTGGAAAACTGAGAATGATCCAAGTGGGTCAGAGTCAATATATGCAAGGGTACTTTGCATGTCAAGGTGTATGTGTCTCTAATCTTCTCAGAATGTATTTAAATGCATTTAGGTTTCGATTGTGTGTTTATATACATATGTTGAGGGGAATAAGCATTGTGATCGCTGGCATTTCTAGTATTCATCTACAATAAAATGTCATTAGCATTGGGATTTTAATCAATTTGAAATGAAGATTGACCCAATGGTTTTAGTGTTTCAAAAGTATAACATTTCCGGTTATTTGTTAAAATAATATTAAGGCAAGACAATTAAATGCTAACAGCATTAACCTTGAGTTGGTTCAAGAGAGTTGTAAGATAGAGCTCTTCTTTTGAGCTGGTAGCCATACTGGTATATAAACAGCAGCCAATAAGACACATGAATATCCATGTGGCAGCCTATGTGGGCGACATTTAGTAATTACTCAAAGTTTTCATGATTCTTAAGGTATTCAGCAGTATGTAAGGATTGGCTGTCAACAGGTGTAGAAGATAATTCCTGGTTGATATTTGTATAGTTAGGATTTACTATTATTATAACTCCATCTACCCTTTCCACCAATCTACCTGCCCTTTTAGGTATACCTTTTTCAGATAAAAAATTATATTCGCAAGAAGTGATGAAAATTCTTGGATACTGCTGATTATAATGTTATGCTTGGTAGACGTAAGCCATGTTTCAGTGACAAATAATGTGTTTTTGGCTTTGTATATTTGAACAAGATTTTCTACTTTAAATTCTTTTTTGAATACTTTTTCAAAGTCACCTTTTACTCCATAATTAAAAAAAACCTTCAAGAAATATAAATAGTTTGTTGAGACTAAAGAAAACTATTTTAGAAGATCAGTAAAATTGTAAACCTTGTTTATTTTTAATGTCCTTAATTATAAATTTTAGGTCAAAATGTCAAAAATATTATTAAAAATAAATAATTAATGACATTAAAAATGTCACTTTTCAAGAAGTGTCACTTATATATATATATATATATATATATATATATATATATATATATATATATATATATATATATATATATATATATATATATATATATATATATATATATATAATCCTAAGCAATAGATTGTCAGTAAGATTGTTGTTGAAGATAAAGAAATAATACAGAAGCAAGGAAAGAGCCTTGTATTACTCCTAAAGTTACTGGAAATGAACAACAGTGAACAACAGTACAACAGTAAAGT